AAACAGACGGCCTCCCAGGGCAGAGCCCAAGCCTGCGCCGAGCCCGGGCCCCGCCCAGGCCGAGCGCCGGGCCCCAGGCTCCGCCCACCGACTTCAGGCCCCGCCTCATCCAGGACGGCACAGACTCGGCGCTACGAGCCACGCCCACCCGCTGCGGTCTAGCGCCCCCTCGGGAGCTCTCCTTAGGCCCCGCCCCCGAGCCTCAAAGCCCCGCCCCTTCCGCCTCTTGCCAACGCAGAGATTCCCGCAGAACTCTTGCCCGGCCCCTCTGCCCTGTCAGCCCCACCCGGGCCCCGCCCACAACGCCGCAAGCCCCGCCTCCTCCGCGCGGCCTGCGCAAACGGACGGGGTTAGGCGTCCCGGAGGTATGAATGCCGTCCAGATTTTACACATTCTCCTCACGCGGCGTTACACGCCCCGCCCAGCAGAATCACAAGCTCCGCCCCTCACAGAGCACGGGACTCTACAGGGAATCTAGCAGAGACATTCATTCTATCCGGGGGGGGGGAAATGCGAACTCTGCCCTCCGGGGAGCGCGCAAAGCTCCCCTCAAGCTCCTCTGCAGGCTCCGCCCCCAGCCACAAGACTTGTCCTTTCACTAAGCCCACAAAAAGGGAATAACTCCGCCCACCTAGGGCTCGCGCAACCCACAGAGAGGTAAAGGCTCACCTACGCAGAGCCCTCGACCCCCGCCCGCCCACTAAAGATGCCCACAAGCCCCGCCCCTGGCGGTCTTCGCTCCGGACTTGGCGCACAGGTTCCGCCTCCTTACGAGGCACAACCCCGCCCACATTAGGCTCCACCCTTTGGGAATGCAAGCCCCGCCCACCCCAGGCCGGCGTCCCTTACCGCCCTCGGGGCATGCCCAGACCCCCTAGTCCGCTGAATCTCTCGTCTCTGACCAGGATGCCCTTGAACCCAGCCCTGGCACCCTCTCCGTCTACCTGCGGTTTTCGCTCGTCCAGATTCCGGGTCCTCTGGACGGAGTCCCCAAACTAGGCGTGGAGAGCCGGGCAGGTAGCGCCGATGGGACTTTGGCGCCACCTGGCGTCGGCACGGCGGACTTGCAGCCACCGGGAGGCCTCCGTAGGGCAACTCTCCCAAATTATGCTAATTTCTCAGTAGACTGCTGCTTCGTTTATTAAACGTGTTACTTAAATATCTTCCGACTCCCCCGGCAGGACAGCAGATTTCTTCACAGGTGTCTTTTTCACATTAAGTTGCTCTCCGAGGGGGTCTCGCACTGGCCCTCAAGCCACTCTGTGAGCTGAGGAGGCCCTGACAGCCCCTAATAGGCCATGACCGTCCCTTACAGTCTCCTGAAGGTCTGGTTGGACTCTTTCTGTCCCTCCCCCACGATGCTGTCCTCAGGGGTGAAAGCACAGCCTCTCACTTGCGGGCCCAGAATTCCTAAGGCCAGGTTCCCCCCTCCCCCAACTGGGGCTCCAAACCATAGACATTCCCCTTGGGGGGGGCGTTAGGCTGGGATGGCTTTGGGCTCAGAAGCCCTCACATGGGAGCTGAAGGCCATCCTTTTTAGAGACAGTGTCTCAGGGGAGACTCTTTCTCAGTGCTCATCGCTCCATCTGAAAATACCTGCTCACTCCCACGGGAGACTTGGGCTCCAGGTGGGTGGACGACTGGAGTCTGTGCTGGGAGTGCAATGAGATCTTTTTCAGATGTTATTGGGCCAGTCTGGGAGCCACACTGAGGAGGACGGAACCAACACCTGCTGGCCTCTAGCTGGGCCCTGCGTTAGACAACAACCTAGCCCCCAGCCGCCCCTGAGCAAATCAGGCCTGAGGAGTGGGATTCTTTCCAGACTATATTCCAACTCTGTGCCTTAGTCACTACAAATAAAAGTAGGGCCTGGTGCCAAATGATGAAAATAATAGTGAATGCTTGAAACACTTATTATATGCTCAGTCCTATTCTAAGAGCTTTGTCTTAACCCCCTGAAAGGTATCTATAGAAACCTAGAAGAAACTTAGCTTATTCTTTAGTCTTTTTGCCTCAGTGTAACCATTAGAAGGCGTTCAGATGTTCTACTGCAGGACAAACAGCAGCCTATCCCATCCCCCCTAGGCAAATCTCCTTCAGATACAAGATCAGGACAGCCCAAAACCACCCTACCTTTGATCAAGGAATTTGCAATTGCAAATATCTAACAAGTCTCTTACAGGAAACTACCCACCCCAGGGATGACCTAATCAGCCCTCTGTGAACTACATGACACAGAGAAGCCTCACCATGGCAGCAATCATGTGACTCACCCACCCATCTACCTGCTGTCCATCACCTGAGGTCAGTACCTGCGCTTGCCCGCCCCTTTGTGATGACGTGGAAGCAGACCATCACCCACTCACTCTAATGATCTTCCCCCATCAAGGAATATGGTTAAAAGGACTCAACCACAAGCAACCAGTGGCCATTGCCTTGCTAGAGTCTCTGGTGTGGCCATGTGCTCTTTGAGCCATGGCTGTCGCCATGCTTCCTGGCTTTGGTCCCCCTCCCCTATCTTGGGGAGGTGAATCTTCTCTCTTCCTTCTCTTTCTCTCTCTAATTTACTTTTAAATAAACTTTGCTTTCTTAACCTTTTTGTGTATCGCAATTCTTTGCAATCTACTCGGATCTCTGGGTTCCCAGTGCGCACCTCCGGCTTGCCAGCCCCGGCAGTGCTGCGCGCCTCCCTGCACCTCTCCACCCTCACCCTGCCTGTCCATACCCTAACACCCCCCTTTTTTTGGTAGATAGGGTCTCACTCAGTAGCCCAGGCTGACTGAAGTTCAGTGGCACAATCATGGCTCACCACAACCTCAAATTCCTGGACTCCAGTGATCCTCCTGCCTCAGCCTCCCAAGTAGCTGGAACTACAGGCATGCACTACCACACCCAGCTAATATTTAAAATTTTTTTTGTAGAGATGAGGTCTCCCTACATTGCTCAGGCTGGTCTCAAACTCCTGGGCTCAGGCGATCCTTCCGCTTCAGCCTTCCAAAGTGCTGGGATTACAGATGTGGTCTACCGTGCCCAGCTTTAACCCATTTATGATTCATAACAACACTCATGAAGTAAAATTTACAGCCAAGGAGACTGAAGGCACTTGCCAAAATTCTTTAAGCCATCTGCCCTAGCTGACCCAATTAGTAAGTGGAGGTTTGAACCCAGACAGATCCTGTTATCTTCACCCTACAGCAAAGACAGTCCATATGAGATAACCATGTCTCTAATCAGAAAATGCCACACCCCAGGAAACTCACTCTTGGGGGTGAGACTGCAAGAGTCAGACTCTCAGAGAGACTGATGGCACTAGGATTGAGCAGGCATGCGCGAAGCCTTCCTCCCCGGGGAAGACTTAGTCCTCTGAGGTTTCAGTGGGCGATGGCTGGTAAATAAATCATTCCTGTGATCATGAGATCCCAATGATGTGCCCAGATAGGTGCAGCTCTGGGGCATGTGT